GGGAGGGGGGAGGGATTTTTTGCTTTTATATAGTTTAGTCGCACGTGGGTGCTGGGCCACTCACCCGAGCCCCTGCAGACCTTGTCCGTTGAAAAAAAAAATGGCAGGAGGGCCCCCGTTTTTTATTCACCGGGAATTCAACGAGGTTATGGGGGGATTAAACGGCTTTCAACGGCCGTTTAATTCCAGGCCCCCCGTTGAGCCGGTTACTCAGGATGTGGCCTCACTCTCCACACTTCATGCATGCCCCTCTCCAATGTCTCTCCTCACGGACACTCATCTCAAGATTCTCCTGTACCCATGTGGGTCCTTAGGAAACTTGCCTCTACCTTGACCCTTGGCTGGCCCCTTCGATGGGCCGGCTTTCGAAGGTGTCGGGCTCCTTAGCCTTCGAGACGGCTGCAACTCCTCCCTCCCGAGCACTGCGAGCAGCCTCCTCGTTTTTTCCCCGCTCTGTTTGGTCCTCCAGGAGTGAAAGATAGTCTACGTCCTCCTGGTTACCCTCTGAGTCTACAGAGAGGATATGCCCCTTCTTCCTCCAGTTCTGGGCCAATTTCTTCACCTGTCCCCCTACTGCAACAGACCCCTGATATACTATCAAGAAGCACCTTAGATAGCTAGTTGGAAGTACCTTTTGATCGTACCGCACTTTAGGCATCATGATCAGTTTCTCTACCTTTTCCCTGTGACAGCTCTAACAATCCTGTACTTCTTGGATTCTTAAGTTGTTAAGCTCGTTTGTGCCCCTCTACCTTTGCTTCCTGTCACACCATCTGGCCTCTACAAGGTTCACAAACTGATCCAGCATGATATTGGTCGCCCATGCACCCATATCACACCTGATATCAGGCCCATACCCTGCCTCTGCTATCACGCCATCATCTAACCACCTTGTTCCCATCGGAAAGGATGCAGCCACTATCACCTCCTTGTCTACACGTGTGTTTGGTCTGTACATGCACAGGCACAGACCGTAGCCACACGTGTCGACAGCGCGGTCACTAATCGATCCAGGGAAGACCGAATCAAGTCCATCTTGCCCTTGACATTCCGCATTGCCTCTTGAAGGCCCAACACATTCTGTTTCAGATCCTTCTCTGCAAGACGTAGACTACTTTCATCAATCCCCTCTAAATCCTCCATGTCTGCCTGTGTATTCATTAGCCGGTCCTTTCTATTTACTGCTCTTGTTTCTTCTTCCTAAGCAACCTGAAGTTCAGCTTACATCGGTGCGTGGTGTGCAACCGCTGCTTGAACCGCCTGCTCCTCTGGAGTAAGGATCTGGGCTGGCTTGATTGCACAGCAGCCATCCGACTCGACCCTGACCCTACGGAGACCCTACGGAGAGACTCCTATTGACTGCGCAGCGCCCGGACAACTCCGACCTGACGTCTGCGCTGCCATTGTTGCTGAGACCCGTTCTGCCGATGGTGCTGCGGTCCTCGCTGCAGCAAGCCTCATGGCTGCAGCCTCTCTCCTAAGCCTGCTCTCGTCCCCTGGACCTAACTCCTGAAACACGAGAGGTATGCTACGGGCAGCTCTTCTGGTCAACGGTGTATCTGCTTCCTCACCGCTACTCCCCTCGCCGCTCATACAAACTGAAACAACTAATCCCTACAGCATAACAAAATACAATCCGTCCTTCTGTAGTGCAGAAATTGACTAGCAATTTTATTTGTTTCCCCAATAACAACGACGCCCCGTCTATTATGGGCGGTAACAGTCCAGTTGCTTGTCACCAGCAAGCAAAGAACAAGTTCGAAGGGCAGTGCCAGACAAGATGGGAATCCAGCCTAATACCCTTGCTGCATGAGACGGTCTGCGGAGGGGGGGGTCACGGGGAAATTCCATGGCACCAACCTGCAATCCCGATCTTGGGGCAAGCATAATGACCGGGAAACAAACAGACGCACATAATGTGCGTCACGAGAGGGGCGGCACTGGTCCCAGGGCTGCACCTCCAGTTGCTAGGTGTCACATCTCAGTTTCCTACTCACCAATTCTACCTCGAGCAAGCACCCAAATCGCAGTCCCTGTATATGTTTTCAACACCTCAGTACTCACGTCTCTATATCCCTCTATTCGTACCCGGCACCTCGACGTCCAAAGCGGACTGCATGTACTCGATCCAGGGCTGCACCTCCAGTTGCTAGGTGTCACATCTCAGTTTCCTACTCACCAATTCTACCTCGAGCAAGCACCCAAATCGCAGTCCCTGTATATGTTTTCAACACCTCAGTACTCACGTCTCTATATCCCTCTATTCGTACCTGGCACCTCGACGTCCAAAGCGAACTGCATGTACTCGATCCTACTTTAAACCACCAGTACTTGGCCCAGCTATCGGCCGCAGCGCTTTCCCGTTAACGGGCCGCGCCTTTAGGGCTTAGGGGTACCGGACCACAATGGCTGGAAGCGCCAGCCAAAAAAAATTCAAAACGGTACCTCGGCGCTTTGGCGAAAATTGGCACAAAGGGGCATTTCCAGGCTCGGCATCGATAGCTGGGCCAAGTACTGGTGGTTTAATCCATTTTGTACCCTTCAGAATAGGGCTCCCTCCTTGACAAGGGGCAAACATCCATCTTGCAGACTTTTTACTTCCCACACCGAATCTTCCAGCATTTACTTTCGTATGCCAATCTCGTACTCTATCCTACTCGAACCTATCAGGGCGGACCTCCCCCCCACCGCCATCCTAACTTCACCCATCAACTAACTATAGTACACTAGAACTAACTTCACCCATGGAAGACGGGGGCATATCCTACCCATCAACTAACTATAGTACACTAGAACTAACTTCACCCATGGAAGACTGGGGCATACTTCGGGAGCAGGGGCCCAAAATATTACCAGGCAAACACTTCAGAAGCACTTACCCAACAACGGTACAGGAATTCCAGACCTTCGCAAATCAAGCTCTCTGTTTGATCAGTTCTGAATTCAACACTGGAGCTACCGCAAGCAGACCAGGTAGGCTATCTGTTCCAACTAACACCGTCAATTAGGACCAGCAGTCTGTCCAGCTAACTAATCAAAACAGTAAATGAAACCTTCTTCCTAGGAATACATCAAACACGGAAATAGACATGAAAATGTACAATCGAGTTTCAGCTGGAACCCACCCCTTTCTCCACATCCCACTGATCATCAATCAACATTATCCGACGACGTACTGAAAAGCAAGCCTCCTCCTCTGGCCGGGTGCGCTCACCAGCACTCCAGCAGCAGTGCCGCATGCTTCAAGCCCGAATGTGTGAAGTGAGCTGCCCTCCACCAGCCTTCTGTGCTGGCTGGAGTAGACGGGGTCGCCTCTGCCCAGGCTGCGTCCAGCCCCAGTACCCTGCGCCCTGGGCCCTTCCGGAAACAGCACCATGCCCTTCTGAACTACACCTCAGGTGCAGCATCGGAAAGAGTGAAACCAACCCGGAGGCTGGGCCTACCGATTAGTTGGAGATGCTGCATGTGGAGCAACCACCCGGTGCCCCCAATCCTAACGGCATTGGCCTGTACTCACACCGGGGCTCATTTTTTTGCACGCCCGCCTCCACTTAGGGTGGGCAGAGCCTTTTGCTGGCATTACCAAGGTCTCAGGACCTCACACTTCCTCTGCCAAGCCCTGAATAGAAAACTCGGCGAGTTTTTCGAAGTGAAGTGGATATCAAGAAAAAAGCCCAACAAAGAAAACCTCTCCAGTCTCAACCCTAAAAAAAAACACAAACAACGTTTTAAGTGGAGCACACAGAATAGAAACCAAACCAGCCATCCTTCCCCCTCCTCTCCAATGCCCTGAATGGAAACAGTTATCAGTTGTTTTCAAACCTTCCAAATTAGGAATGCAGTGCACCGAAAGCTGTCAAAAAGTGCAAAAAGTGCAAAGAAAATGCCAAATTGTTCTAGTATTTCCATACACCAGGGGAACATGGTGGTGGAGGGTGAAGAAAATTGGTGTAGATCTGCATTTCTGCATCTCCCATCCAGATTCAGGCACGTGGGACAATCCTCTTTGCTAGTAGGACCTTGCTCCTGTCTGCAAAACCACATGATTTCAGACTTTCAGCATTGCAATTCTTAAAATCGTAAAAAAAGAAAAAGAAAAAAAAGAACTTCAAGACCCGCCACACTCTACATGTTGCTATTCTGATCGAAGAACATTTGAACGCACATGGTCCAGAAACCGGCCCTGGTTCATGATGGTATCTGCACAGAAAATCGCATGAACATTCACTTCGCAAGAAATGGCATCAAAGGCCCATCATATCATAGACCTGCACATTCTAAATGCACATGGTTAGAGGAAGAAGTGCTTCCTTCCCTAAGCTTGAACTGGCCCTTCTTCTGCCCTCGCCAAACAGAAAAACAAAACACCCCTAGGCCCTCCCCCTCCCCCCTCTTTCCCCCCCTTGCCCCCCCACCCCGAAAGGTTCGGAATCTGAATGGAAACAAATCAAATCAACTTCAGCTTGGGAATTAGGATTTGGAGGGCTCTTCTTCCCCGGAAGATATGGGCAACTTCAGGCCGACCCTTGCCGCCGCTCGTTCTAATTGCAGATCCTCTCTTCCGTCTGCTTTGACATTATACGATGACAACAACTCCTTGTGCTCACGCACGCTGTTGAGAAGGAAAGCATAGTCCTTGGCAAGAGCGACCCGCTCCTCTTCGTTTGCTGTGGTGACAGAATCTTCCCCGGAGACGCTGTTGCGCGACATCGCGATGACACGCTCCCGCCATAGGCGATTGCCTGTAACTTTCGTGATGTTTTGATCGATGGCCCTAAGCAACTGCCGAACCGCATGCCGACCCTCCATTGTATGATGACACCACGTTGCGCTGCCACCGCTCTCGATCGCTGTCAAACGCTCGTTTTATTTGCTGGACCCTTTGTCTTTGCTCGCTTTCGCCCTTGCTTTCGGGCTTTGCAATCTAAAAATAGAACTCTGGTTGTATGTATTACCTGCAACTTCTGACGTAGTACCAACCGTACACCCCGGTGTTCCTCCTTACAAGCTGCTCTTTCTGACAGTTGCTATTTGCAGCAGCCTCACCTCACAGTCCACTTGATTCACATCGCATCCGTCCACTTGTGCCACGTGGCACTACTGTATGTAGTGCACCTGCCAGTTGGTCCCACGTGGCACTTGCTCAGTTTTTCAACGTAACACGTGGATAAGGGCACCACGTTCGTACATCTGAAGTTCCAGCCTTCCAGGTACCAGGAACTTGAGATGTACCAACCCATTCACACACGCACAAGCAATGCAATGTATATATATATATATATATATATGGATATAGATAAAGATGTAGAAATAGATGTATATGTATAGATATAGTCTGGACAGCAGAAGCTCTGCTGAAACATTTGGACTCTCTACTGATCAGGAATTGGACCTCAAGGACTGTATAGAATAATTGACACAATAATCATTAGAGCTTTTTCTTCACAGGGAAGGTTGGGTGGGTGGGTGGGTGGGTGGAGGGGGCGGGGGGGGAGCGGATATCGTTACGTTGACGGGCAAACCGGAGATAAAGACTCTAAAAAAGCTGAAAGATTTGGCTCTAGAGATGGGCTCGGCTATGTCTTTGAACTGGAGGGTGAAGAGCTGGGCCGCCTGGTGGTATGTTCATGCGTGGAAAGTAAGGGCTGATGCTGGACACTTGGTTCTCCACTCCCTGGAAACCAGAGATCCACACATCCATCCAGACTGAGAATACGGGACTTATGGTCTCTTTTTCTTTTTCTTTGTTGTGAAGGGGAGGCGAGGCAGGGCAGGGTAGGCTGGAGGCGGTGGCAGAGGGGGGGGCAGGAGGGGGGGGGGGGGGGGGCAGTGGGAGCACGGGAGCCGAAAAATCGGTAGATAGAGGGTGGCTGCTGATAACGACTCGAGTTTTTTGAGAAGATCGACGATGTGACTGCATCTCTTCTGCTCTTATGTGACCAATTCTCGGAATGCTGCGCCCACTTGGACACTCATCCTTTCGAGAAAAAACATGGGACAGCATACTCACACTTGTCCTTTCCGAAATGTATCCGGCTACAATTATAGCCGAATTCAGTTGAGAAATTCCACATGCGAGAGAATGCTCTTATGAGGAAGAGGGTGCCTTCAGGTAACAGCTCCAATGTTCACGATGCTGCTTTCTCAATCTTATCAGGAAGGGGACGCTCCCCACGAATAGACCAGAGCGGGTTAAAAAAAAAAAAAAAAAAAAAAAAAAAAAGGGCGATGTCATCGGACTAACCAGCCCAGGTAAATTCAATATTGTGTCTAATCTGACATCGGGTGGCCTTTTCAGCCCAGGGTGGCCTTGATTGCCTTCAGGGAACCCCCCCACGGGGGACACCGGCCAGGGGACAGCCGGTGGCAGAGGGACCGAGCATCATCTGAGTGGCCAGTCGCTGTGCCTCCCCGATCATCTGAGTGACCAGAGCGGTTTCACACACACACACACACACACAAAAAAAAAAAAAAAAAAAAAAGGAAAATTCCTATCAGGAACAGGGAGCCCGGGGTTACACCTCTAATTATAAATTCGGGGCATTCTCTCTGGGTTTTTTTTTTTTTTTTTTTGTCTCTTGACAACAGAAAACTCGTAGGCACCAACTTCAATCTATAATCTGGGTAGCCAACCAACACCACGGCTGCGAACAGATCCCCACATACGATAGTACAATGGCGACTTCCAGCAGCTTGCGATTGGAACCACTCTCTTGCTTTTTTTTTTTCTTTTTTTTTTGGGAAGCAACCTCTCATGGACGCTAGCGGTGTCGACAAGAGCAACCACCGCTGGTACCCCTAGAGTGACTCCATCCATTGGTGGGGAGTGTCACCCACTGGAAATCGGGTCCTGCGTCCCATACACATCGATGGTTCTGAGAACAAGACCAGCCTGCATTGATGTCCCTGAGCCCCAGGGGATTGACTGAGTGGCCATTAGAACACTCTCGCTCTCCCGCCTGTCTCTTATACACATCTAGATGTGTATAAGAGACAGCATATAGACCTTTCTGTGAGTCTCTGAATGCATTTTATCTCTGAATGCATTTTATCATGAACAAGGGGATGGCATGAGGGGGTCAGGGGATGCAGGGCCCCAGCAAAGAACCGCACGGCCAGTCCCAGCAGCAGCGKCGGRGGGAGGGRGGGRGGGRRGGGGGGGGGGGGGGAAGGAAAAAAGGCACTGGAAGGTATCTGACCGAAATCGGGCATGCCATGTACTCGTATTCAAACATGTGACTAACACAGCTATCAGCCGGCTGTGCCATCGCCACAAAAAAGGCTAGTCCACTACCCAAGAGCAAGCTCTGTGGGTACACTCATGAACTCTTGACATACAGACCCGTGTTCGAATCCCGGTGATGGAACTTAGAGTAAGACCAATTACTACTGAATTGCCTGGGCCGGTCGCCTCAATGATGATATCTCAACGCTGTCACCTGCTGGGTTGTCGAGTGAGTGGCCCTAAGAGCACTGCCAGATCACACCTCGCTCCACTATTAACCAGTGAAAAAACACACCAAAAAAAAAAACTGCTGAGAAAAAAACCGACGAATCGGCGACGATTCCATTCCTTTGTTGTTTGTGCACGTGGTGAGTAGTGGAGCGAGGCCCTCACGTGGTGAGTAGTGGAGCGAGGCCCTCTCCACTGCTCACCAAACGGGCAGAGGGCCTGGGTGCAGTACTCTTCAAATGTGGAAAATGAGACTGGATGCACCGCTGGAACATGGAAAGATACATTGCCATCTTTTTTCTCTTTTGTGCATCTGGAGAGCAGTGCAGCCATGCCCAAAGTCCCCTCCTGTTCTCTCTCTCTCTCTCTCTCTCTCTCTCTCTCTCTCTCTCTCTCTCTCTCTCTCTCTCTCTTACCAGCAACAGGGATGACGACCGTGCGGCATCCCCCTTGCCACTGGTGTTCTCCTGCGAACACCCTGCCCCCCCTCCTGCCCCCCCAGCCTTCGACCGGGCCAAACAGGGCCCGGTACTGGCCTGGTTCAAGCGTGTTCGCTGGGGGTTAAAATGCGTTCTCCCGAGCAGGTTCATGATCCATTCGTGCGAACGTCCGAACGTGTTCAGGTGTTCGGTGGGGCCCCGAACACGTTCGGTCACCACGAGAGTGACCACACCCAGTGTCTCCCTCGGGCCCCATTCGAGTGATTCATTCCCATAGTCAGAGAAAATCCTTTGCCTACCTATTCCATCCTCCTCTATCTAATGCTTCTCAATGCTTGCCATTTGCCAGAACACCCTCCCAATACTTCCACACCTCAAATCACAGCAGGCGCTAAACCACTACTACTCTTCACAAACAAAGTCTAAGTCCAAAATATAACATATACCGCATTCTTCGGAAGCCAGGCGCCACCAGACCAAAATGGCAGGCAGCGCCAGCCAAAACAAAAGAAAAAGTTACACTTGTGCTTCAGGCAAGCTTGGCGTGCAGTTCTACTCCACCTCGGCAAAAAGAGGCTTGGAGGTAGTGGTGGTTTAAACCACCAGTACCACCAGTACCTCGCCCAGTATATACATATATATATATGCAGTCCGAGCCTCCGGGGACCGGTATGCCGAGCCTCCCGACCCTGGCAGTACCAGTAGCAGGACGGGCCAGTGGGAAAACAAAAAAAAAAAAACAAGCAACAACGCTGGAGACGTGAATGCAGTTAGAAGCATTCTCCGAAGTGCCAGTGTGAGCACCCCGCAGTTTGGGCGTATCAGCCCCATGGTGTTTTTGTCAGAATCTAAAAGGAAAAAAAGAAAAAAAACAAACACCATGTCAGAATCTAAAAGGAAAATTAGTTAGGTACATTTGTCTGTGTGCCAGTGTGAGTGTGCCCTCAACGAGGACTGTTCAGAAGATTACGGGATATGCCCTGCCTCGCTGGCAGAGGAATCTAAGAAAAAGAAAAAAAAGAAAGTAGGAAAAACGACATCGCAAATGCAACCCTGAAATTAGTGAGATACATTCAACCAAGAAGCAGCCTGACGACGTTATTGCCAAGCTCGAAAAAGTACAATTTTTTTCATTTTTTTTTTCGGGTTTTCTTCATAGTTTTTCTCACAGAGCGGCCGTTCAGCTGAACGACCCCCGCACGACGCGGCACGTTAACGGCCGCGTCGGGATTGTTTGGCTGGACGAGGTACTGGTGGTTTAACCATGCCCACGGAACAATTAATAAGTGGCAGTCCCGAGCAAGAATGCATGAAGAGGCTGTATCAGACGAGAACATGCATTTAGAATTAACCGTGATTATGACATAATGTGCCCTAGTTGCAGGCAAGAATGCACGATGAAGCTGCATCAGACAAGACGATACATTCAGAATTCTCTCTTTCGTAATGAAGCAGAAAATGTAGATTGTAGATGCAGCTGGTGCACTGGGGCAATCCTCCGAACGCATGGCCCGAGAAGGCATGCCATCATCGTATTCTACTGCTCGGTGCACCGAGCCGTGCAGCCCGCAGTACCATTCTCTGCCATGGAACTCTCAAATTATACAACTACGCAGCCCACGACATCGTCTCTATTCTGAAATTCATGAATAGAAGTTGTTACAAATGCGTAGCCACATCCTTCAGGACATCCGTTAAAATTGCAACGATATAGAGAAGATTCGCATGACCGCTGCACCAGGGCTTCAGGTAAGCAACTAATCATGGATGGACGAGATTGTGGGCCAGCACGGGCTGGACCCAACAAACTGAAAAGTATGCCGTGAAAGGTCAGGATGTGAGACTTCATCCACAATACTAGGATTCCTGGGCGTATTCAACCAGAATTACGGCCAGATTCACTGCACAAAATCCAAGCGTAAATATATAGCCTAACTCGTTACCTACGCAGTGAGCGAAGGAGAATCACACACAGAACCTCGCAGCAGAGGCTTGAAAAATGACCCTGTTACGCTGGATGCCACAATCACGCAGCGATTCCAGACACTAAGGACATTCTCACACTCTGACCACACTGTAATAAAATGTGTTCCTAACCACAATCACAGCTAGATTCTATCAAAAACTCAAAAGCGTGAGTTCCCACTAATGACGCAAACACACCAGGTACCACTCCAGGAAGTATGCCGCCAAAAGGGCGTGGTCCCAGTTACCCAGGTTCT